TATTAATGTCCTTATCAAACTAGATCACTGATAAAAGACTGCATGTGGACTTTTGGTATAAAGAAAGCAAATGTAGACTCTAATAGTTTTTACCTGCCCAGCACTCACACTTCTTATAAGATCACCTCAGTTTCCTGTGGTGAACGGTCTCCTCTCGGCACTACTTTAGGTTCATGCGGTATATGTGAAGTGCCACCCACATCTGAGTAACTGGGAGGAGTATTTTCCATAGCCCTAGCCACAGTGACTCGTTCAGAAATTTGTCCGTAATCCAAGGCAGACCAGTAACACTGAGCTCCTGGACTTTTGCTGGAACTATTAGGCAAAAGGATCTCATTCCAGTGGGATCAAAAAGCTGGCAGAATAGAAGCCTTTAGCTTCTGATGGCCATTAATATGCATGAGAATGAAGCTGACAGAATAATATTGACAACAGTAAGTATTATAACCTACTTACTATGTGTCAGGCACTATTTTAAGAGCTTTACATATACTAAACATACAATCCTTACAATGTACAGATGTGCAGAGATTTAGCACATTGCTCCAGGTTACACACAAGTGAAGGGCACAGGTAGGACTTGAACCCCAGTGGAGTCCATGTCCTTCATGGCCACAAATACTGCTCATCATAAAAATGAGAGCTGAGGGATAGAGCCTGTTTCAAAGAGAATCGTGTGAGCACCTACATCCAGACTGGGCCTTCACTGTGCACCAGGACTCATTTAAGTCAGTAAATTATTTTTCAGACCCAAATCAGTCTGAATTGGGTTTATATCAAGGGAGCCAAACGAGTCCTGATTATACTTCAGATTCATCATTTCATTGTTTATAACAGAAAGTGGAAAGAACCTAAATACGTTATGATGGTTGTTAGTTCATGGTCATGATAAAAATGCTATTTTTAAAAAATAACAAAACTGTATATTCATTATGCCAATAAAAGATTTATGTGCAATGACTGAAATAAAATATACCAGATTATATTTGTGTAAAGAAAATGAGAAACCTTAATTATTTTATATTTTTTCCTAAATGTTTGAAGTTTTCTACAATAACATTTTAAAATTAAAAGAGGAAGAAAAACCTTTAAAAGATGTGAAAAACTTTTAAAGATGTGAAATAATTTTACCCCTTAAACTACAAACCTCCTTCGATATAGTACTCTAAATTGAACCTAGATTAAATTTACAATCAACTCAATCACAGAGTGTGAACTCCATGAAGGTAACTTTTTTCCCCCTATTTTATTCACTGTTGTAACTCCAGTGGCAACATCAGCACCTGGCACCCAAGTGCTACTGAATGAAAGATGAACAGAAAAGTGAACAACTGGCAGTTTATTTCCACCATACTACATAATTTTTCTAGCAAGATGTTTATTACATAAGAACTGGGTTTCCCCCAAAATTCTAGTTAAGACTTGAGACAAATCAATGTTCAAGCTAATTCTATACCATTTTAAGAGATTTAAAAAATAACATACCAGTATTGTGATTTTACCTGGGTAATAATCACGTGAAAGTGAATAGCCTTGACTACTTCATGGCTAACTTTAACTCCAGTGAATTATTCCTAAATATATATATACATATATATATATTTAATATA